CAATAAGTGAGAAGATTACCACAAGCAGGGGTGCCCACCAATCAATATTGGATTTCAAGAGTTCTGGAGGCAAGTGATCGATGCCTGGTGCTTTATTGTTTTTTAGCTGCATAATGAGGTTTTTGACCTCATTTATAGTTACTGGAGGCCAGGCTGGTAAATTTTCTGGGGATACTGTTAGTTGATTGGACTCAGCATCCTGGTCTCGATCGAGTGAGTGATAGGACTGCATCCATTCAAGAGGTTTGATAGCGCAGACTGGCACGTTGCGATCATTCTCCAGGAGGCCTGATATAGTACGCCAGAAGAGGGAGGTGTCCTTAGGTATGTGTGATGTGGTGCTTGGCCTGGGTTTTGTTTCATGAGCATGTGCATTGCCTGATTTTGGGGAGGAAACCCAGGCAGTCACATCCCATTCGGAAACAGGTTTGTCTCATGATAGAGGGGTTAGGAAAACAGAATTTTTTGTTCCCTGATTCTTTTGTTCTTCATCAAAACTCTTTGTTTTGACTGAGGCACAGCCTTTTCTTTTGAATAATCACCGGGTGTAGAGATGAAGCCATTAAAAGCACAAGTCTGAAAAGGACAAGGCTGAATGAGGGAAGTCTCATTCAGAGGGATGTGAAAAGATAACCATAATTATCCTATTGCTGTAGAATAAGCATTTGGACAGCATGACAAGCAATTGTCAAAATACTTACTTGATTCTGAAAATGTACAGCGGATTGTCTCATGGCGTCCTCAAGATAGACTCAAGGAACTCAAATGAATTATCATTTTGGATGGTGCCTTTTAATGTACCTGAGGAGTTTGCAAATGAATTCACTTATCTGCACATTTTTAATGGATCATTACGTGCATAAATCTTTCTCTGCCTGCTTCTCTCATCAGCCACTTTTCCTCCCCCACACCTTTGCCCCTCCAGCCAGGACACCCACAAGTCAGCTTGCTGCATAAGTGGAGCTGGGGAGGGAGGTGCAGAGGGGAAACGGTTGGTGGTTAAAGGATTGCACACAGCCATTCCAGACTGCTGCTCCTAGACTGCAAATTCTATTCCTCCCTCGCCGCAGCTTCTCTGGCCTGATGCTGTTGCATAAGGAAAGAAATTAACTGAAATATTTCATATTAGCTCTTTCTAAGGGACTATTACTACATCTGAAATACTCTCGGTATTAACTGGTTACAGCAGCAGTACAGCTGCAATGCTAACATTCCTGTCCTCATCAGATTTAATTTCTATGGCAGCATAGCAGAAGACTCAGAATTCTCTCTTTAGAAGATCAGGTCAGAACCAGTTTGTGTTCAGGATCCAGCTTGTAATGTGTGCAAGTGGAGACCCATGGAAGGTTGCAACAAGCAAGGGAACTGCAGTGAGGGATGGATCCCAAAATGCCCTTCTTCCTTGTGTGGAAGAGCTGTTCAGAGCACTGAATGAGAAGAGGAAAACTAAATCCATGTTCTCCTTTCACAAGAGGATTGCTATAGAGCCTACCCCTTATAGTTAGTGTGGCGTCCTCTCTCTTAGCACGTTTGCAAAAGAGCACTATTTCCTTCCACTCATCACTTTTTGGATCCAGGCAGAGATATGTGGAACTTTGTCCCCTGGTTTCCTCAGAAGTTTGGTGCTGTTTTCAGTTCTGTCCACAGAATATGTACACGCCTGTCTCCCGCCTTCGCTGTCTCGAACAAAGGCTTGTGTACCTAGCTGCTAGCCCTGGATAATTCAGTGCCAGCTGCACATTATCGAGTTCCATTGCAAAGGCTGAAAAGCGCAGCAGTGAAACTGGCAAGAACCTTTGCTGCAGGAGTGAAATTGACAAAGATTATATCTGATTAGCCTCTGAGACTATATATAGACTTGTAGCATTCTCCCTCTATAAACTTCCCTGTTACCAACACCAGACACTTATGATACAATGTGTTGTGGGGAAAGAGAGCAATAGTGGAGGCCATACTAAGTGGCTACATAGAGCTGTTTTAGGAGGAGGAGGAGGAGGAGAAGGAGGAGAAGGAGGAGAAGGAGGAGAAGGAGAAGAAGAAGAAGAAGAAGAAGAAGAAGAAGAAGAAGAAGAAGACGACGACACTGTTCAGATGACTGGAAGTCGTGGCTGGATGGCTGCATGGGATCCGGTTGAAGTTAAATCCTTTGAAGACAGAGGTCCTTTGGCTCAGTCGAGATGATATGGGCTTGGGGGGCCAACTCCTATCCCTTGCCGGGAGCACAACTAGTGCCAGCACCTTCCGTCAAGAGTTTGGTGTAACCTTTGATGCCTCCCTTTCCATGGAGGCGCAGATTGCAGCTACAACAAAGGCGGCATTTTTACATCTCCACCAAGCTAAGCAGTTGGCTCCTTACCTCTCTCGCCCTGACCTCGCCACTGTGATCCACGCTACGGTCACCTCCAGACTGGATTATTGTAACTCGCTCTATGTGGAGCTGCCCTTGAGACTGACCCAGAACTCCAGCAGGTTCAGAATGCCGCAGCAAGACTCCTTACGGGGTCTTCGCCACAGGATCACATTCACCTGGTGCTACACCAGCTACACTGTTTCCTGGTGGAGTACGGGGTCAGGTTTAAGGTGCTGGTTTTAATCTTTAAAGCCCTATACCAGGCTTCCTCAACCTCGGCCCTTCCAGATGTTTTGAGACTACAATTCCCATCATCCCTGACCACTGGTCCTGCTAGCTAGGGATCATGGGAGTTGTAGGCCAAAAACATCTGAAGGGTCGAGGTTGAGGAAGCCTGCCCTATACGGCCTAGGACCCTCATACCTATGGGACTGCCTCTCCTGGTATGTCCCACGGAGGACCCTACGGTCTGCTAATAACAACACCCTGAAGATCCCGGGCCCCAGGGTGGTCAGACTGGCCTCAACCAGAGCCAGCGCCTTTTCAGTCATGGCCCCGGCCTGGTGGAACGCTCACTCAAAAGAGACCAGGGCCCTGCGAGATTGGACATCTTTTCGCAGGGCCTGCAAGACAGAGCTGTTCTGCCAGGCCTATGGTCAGGGTTCAGTCTGACTCATTTTCTCTTTGTATAAGAACAAGCACGAAGGAGGTTTCCCAGGACCTTATAATATCAGTGGAAACAGTTGGTTCTGGTGAGAATTAACTGCTTTCCATTTAACCTGAGGACTGCCATTTGTTTAGTTTGATTTTAATTTTAATTTATTTGAATTAATTTTGGGATGCATTTTAATCAATTGATTGCTTGTTTTTATGTATATTGTGTTATTAATATGATGTTAGCTGCTCTGAGCCCAGCTCCGGCAGGGGAGGGCGGGATACAAATAAAAAATTATTATTATGATTATTATTATTAAGAAGAAGAAAAAAAGAAAGGTACATTTTTCAGAGCTAGAAACCCCCACAGCATCTACCTTCATTGGTCTGTTGACAAAAGCTTACCAGACATTTAATACAGAGGAAAAGTCAAGAAGATGCTTTCTAACTCTGGACACTTTTGGTGTGAGTCTGAATGCCTCCCATCCTGCCTTCCCTTTTTAGATATCGTGCGCTGACCTTGCACCTTTTTGTGGCTGCTGCTAAAATCCCTGGCTCTGAACTCCAGTGTTTCTTCATGACTTTGCTTCCAGCCCAGACCTGTTGCATTTTCTTGACGAAGATTTAATCTTCACAGTGTTACATTTTGATTTAATTTTAAATTAACTTTTCCTTTGTAATAGTCTAAGGATAGCATATCTGAGCGATCGAAAAATCATAAAAAGTGCAATTTTCCCTCCAAGCCCCAGACAGAATATGATCTATGGTAATAATTACAGAAACAGAAATGAACAGAATGGGATATTAGAACAAACAGAATGTTTCCTTGACTTAAGCTTAGGTATCTAGGCCTCCACACAATACAAAGGAAGCGCTGGGAGTTAATCTATGTCCCTGTTCACTGGACTGGATCATTCCCATGGTATTTTATCCAACAATTGCAGGCCTAACTGGGCAACAAGAGGCGCTGGACAGGAGATGCTCTCAGGCCTCCCCTTCCCTAGAATGGCTGGCTGCCCTTGTGCCACGGGAGGAGCAAACAGGAGTCCGTTGCACAGTTCAGGGGTCTCTCTGCACATGGTATTGCATTCCTGGTCTTGTTTTGTATGAAGGGAAAGTGGCTGGCTGCCCAGAGGAACTCCACACAAGAGTTGTGATTAACCTTTTGGTCAAGTGTGCTGCCGGTCCAAAGGGTGGGAGAGCGGCATTCTAACGCATACTTTAGTGTACACTGAATCATTTCAATGCCTTGAGGTGATTTTGCCTGTAGTCTGTTGATCTAGAGAGCATCCATCAGGAGAGGCAGGCAGAAGTGCAGGTCTGATTCTGTCACAGCCGGGATAGCTCAGCCAGTGGGGCAAAAGACTCTTCATCTCAGGGTCATGGGTTCAAGCCCCACATTGGGCAAAAGATTCCTGTATTGCAGAGGGTTGGACTAGATGACCCTTGGGTCCCTTCCAACTCTATAGTTGGAACTCTATGATTCTATGATACCAGTATCACTTGTGGCACCCGTGCTGCAGGTTCACCACCCCATGGATCAGCAACTGGAAGCCTAAGGCAAGAGGAGAATAAGGATTGAATAGTGGCCACTAGTTGCCAATCAGTGCTCTGGAGCACAGTTACACTCCTGCGCAGCGCAGCAATTATTGCATATGTGAGGATGCAATAATTCACTGCTAGATCACCTGAAACAGTGTTCTTCAACCTTGGATCCCCAGATGTTGTTGGATTATGGCTCCCATCATCTCCATCCATCTTAAATTAGCACCGGTAAGCCGCAGAACTGGGAGTGAAATCTGCCTGAAAGTCCAAATCCTGGAGAGCTGTTTCCAGTCAGATTACACAACACCTTGCAAGATGGGCCATTTGGCCAATTCAGTGTCAGTTGGTTTCATGCAACCTACCGTAGGTCTCCTTTGAGTTGCAAGGAATGCATGCATCCTCTACTTGCATCATTGTTTTCACAAATAACTCCCTTCTCTTGCTGTTACAGATCATGGCACTATTAAGAAAGTACTTGCTCCAGTTAATCAAACATCGAGCAGCTGCTTGCTGGAGGAGATTGACATATTCCCAAAGAAGCAGTGGGAGCCCATCAGGAGTCTGCAGATTTTACACAGCCAGAGTGCTCTGTTTGTGGGCCTTCAGAGAAGTGTGGTGAAGATCCCACTGAAGAGATGTCTGTTTTACAAAACACACAGGTATCTGGCTGGCTGACTGTGAGAAGTGCAGAATTCAAAGATATCAGGGATTTGTAAAAACACATTACTGTTGGGGCCACCAGCCAATCCTAAAGAATTTTACTTGATCATTCAACTTCCACTTAATCTATTAATTGAATGGGGGGTGGGGTTCCTCCAAGATGCATTATCTATGAAGATCAACCCCCATAAAATAAAGAGTTTTGGGGGAAAACAAAACAAACAAAAAAATCAAGACTTACTGCTAGCTGAGGAGAAAGTGGTGTGGTATGTGCATGTAGTTGTGGTATGTGCATGGTTGCCACAGTTTCTCTGGTTTGCACATGTGCTCAAGGACAGTTGAGGTCCATTGCACCCATCCAAAATAGCCTCCTATCAATTAATCAGCTGAAGCTTTAATTGTTTAATATTCCAATTAAAGGGTTTAATAATTATCTAATCTCAGTAATATAATCTACAGTGCTTTTCCTTTTGGGACAAAGTAGAACATCTCCAGAAAACTATTAATTGCTCCAACAAATGGAGATTATCTGTAGGGAAATTCAACCCCTGAGACCTCTCTGATGAATGGGGAGGAGAGCTGGGGAAGGGCTAGAATTCTCCCTCCTACTCTGCCCTACTTGTCAAGTGTGATAGGTCTTTTGCTAGAAACAGCAGCTCTTTCTTGAGCACAGGTTGTTGGTATCCATCTGTCTCGAGGGACAATGGAGTGCTCCTCCGGGGGTAAAGTCAAACTGCTGTGTTAGCAGCACTGAAGTGACCTTGGGGGTGCAAGGCTGGGCAGCATGTATGAAGGTCCTGGGCTGCCCAGATGACAAGACCCCTCTCTCAGCCTTGCTGATGTCCAGACGGAAGCAGAGCAAAAGGCTTGGCCCCAGCTTGGCTGCAGGAGTTGCCGGAAGGGGGTGTACAAGGCGCCACCCAGCTGCCTTCAGGACTCCACTCTGGATTTGTGCAGGGTTCACTCCTGAGCCTTTTCTTCTCCTTAATGTGTCCCACAAGGCAGGTGGTACAGGTTTTTCCTCAGGGTCTACTCCCAAAGCCTTTCTCATGAATGAATATAGTCACAAGGCAGCAGCAGCAGCAGCAGAAGAAGAGTTTGGATTTGATATCCCGCCTTTCACTCCCTTTAAGGAGTCTCAAAGCGGCTCACATTCTCCTTTCCCTTCTTCCCCCACAACAAACACTCTGTGAGGTGAGTGGGGCTGAGAGACTTCAAAGAAGTGTGACTGGCCCAAGGTCACCCAGCAGCTGCATGTGGAGGAGCGGAGACGCGAACCCGGTTACCCAGATTACGTGACTACCGCTCTTAACCACTACACCACACTGGCAGAGATTTAGGATCAGAGTTTTCCTTCTCCTAGATGGGCTCCCTTCCCAGGTTGACAAGTCCTCTGTGCCCCTCTACAGCACATGCCTTCTTGAGCGTGGACCCACTTGAAGCCCTTCCTGGTGCATGATTATACTGCAGTCTGATGTTTTGGGTTTGTGTTTCCAGTGCATGTGTTGGATCCCAGGATCCTTACTGCGGCTGGGACCTGGTGCTCAAGAAGTGCACACCACTGGAAGAAAGCCTGAGTATGAGTCAGTGGGAGCAAAGCATCTCATTGTGTCCAGTAAGTTCAATTCAGATTCTTCTTTTCCCTGAGTCCAAGTGATTCCCGCAGAAGTAAGTCTGAGTATTTGGGTCAAGGAAGTGATTATGCACAAATAATGTCAGTTCAAGCCTTCTTGTCTCTCTGATCTGAGCTACAGGCTGAACCTTTCTTCTTTCCTCTGCAAGCTGTTACGCAGCATGATTTGTATGTCTGAGTCATTAAGTTATCCACCAACAGTCTCACAAGCATAACAAGAGAAGATCCGTCTGTTGCAGCTGTAGGATGCTGGCAATTGCAGTTGTTGCAGAGAAGTGGAACGTCAGGCTGGCTGCGGAGCCTGGCACAGGGATTGGGACATCCCAAGAGATGTGTGCTGTTGGCAGGAAGTGGGAAGGAATCCAAGGCTGTGCTGCAGGGCACTCAGGGAAATGCAGGTGTGGAGCAGAGTGGGAAGAAGGGAGTCTTGAGGCAGAAGAGTTCAGACAGGAAGCAGGGGGCTGAGCAGTCAAAATCTAGCAAGTTAGGTAGGCGAGCCCGAGTCTGAGGAGAAGGGGCTCCGTGAAAGGAGAAGTTGATAAAGAGGAAGACTGCCAGGAAGCTTCCCATGGGGCCCAGTGACAAGTGATGCTGTAAGCTGGCCCCGGAGGGCTGTGGGTTGGAGAGGCAGGAATGCCAGGCCAGGCAAATGGGAGGAAGGCTGGAGGACTCTTGAGCCTGTTGCTCCCAGCCTTGTTTAACTTGCTCATGGGACTTGGTAATGTCACACTTGCTCCCGGTGATCTGCCTGATGGGTTTGTTGAGTCCAGACTAATTTTCTTTCATTCTTACACCTTTGCACTGCATGATAGCCTTTTATCTGTGTCAATGCTAGTTGGATATGCTGCTTTTCTCTAAGCTTGAGGTATGTTGCACTGGTGACCAATGTCATTCACATAATCATATATCATCAATGATTACAGCTAGTGGACTATCGATGAAGGGAGACAGGCATGCTGTTGGGTGGTTGAAGGATTTCTGACATGCATTCACCGCCTTCCAAGGTGTTTGGTTTTTAAGGTAGAGATTGTGTATTGAAACAACTTCCACAACACTTAAAATGGCTGTCTACTTTCAGCCTATTTATTTTTAAGCCTGTGTTTCAACTCAATGCACTGAGTATCTACTTCAATTTATTTCTGGTCTATATGTATGAACTGAATTGCAAAACTGTGAACTGAACAATTTCCCCGAAGAACCTAAGGTAATGTTGATGACAGCAGGAAGCCAGTCTTTTTGATACACAATCATAGTATCTGCAGATTGCTGCATATAGCACAGCTGTTCGGGGTGTTGAATGGCTTGATGAACCCTGGCTGCCTCTGCTAAGAGACAGTTGGTATGTGAGACAGCTGGTAATAAGTTTTGGGCACACTGTGGCCATGATCCAGCAGCTCCAGTTGTACATGCTGGGTCTTGAAGAGGCAAAAATACTCAACATGCATAATGAAAAATGTCTTGTGTGCAATGAGATAATTTCCCCTTTTGTAGAAAAGATGGAGAAAGCCTTTTGGTCTAGAATTTTGAGGAAATGGTAAAATGACAGCGATTGACACACATTGCCAGCAGAATCGCATCATAGTACAGTCCTCATAGGACTGTATCACTTCATAATGAAAGTGAGGAAGTCCCATGTTTAAATTTTCCCCATATGCAAAAACTCCCTGTGTATGGAAAGCTGTCACATCAGGGAAATAAAGCCTTTTTTCCCAGGCATGCTAATTTTTGAAATGCAGAAGTGTTTTTTGTTGTTGTTTTTAATGAGAAATATTCAAGCATATGAAAGCAGTATAATTCAGCAAGAGCTGAGCTCCATGACTGCTGTGATTATTACCTTAACTATGGCAACCAGAGCTTGTCTTTTTGCTTTCTAGGTAAGGAATCTGACTGTGGATGGCCATTTTGGAGCCTGGTCAGAGTGGAAGTCTTGCTCCCACGTGGACGGCTCCAGTGTGGGCTTTTGCCTCTGCAGAAGACGCTCGTGTGACAGCCCAGTTCCAAAATGCGGAGGGCGGCAGTGTGAAGGGCCAAGTCTAGAAGTGGCCAACTGCTCCAGGTGAGCGAGAGAAAGAGGAGGGGACCTGAAGGGGTGGGGAACTTTTCTGCAAATGGGTATTGATTTGGGCCACTCCATACATGTTTTAGGTGTAAATGTAGGATCTTTTAGGTATAAACCTTAAAATGTCAACTATGGACGTGTATAGGATGTAATTTTTAAAAGAAAAAATCACTGGAGTAGTGGGAGAAAGGGGTGCTTAACACTTTCCTTGCCTGTCCTTTCCCCTCAGTCCAGATTTCCACAATCCCTTCCAAACAGCTGTTTCCCACGTAGGTTCAGAGTTCTGATCCCTTATTCTTCTAGAAATGGAGGCTGGACTCCTTGGACATCCTGGTCCCCTTGCAGCACTTCCTGTGGGATAGGCTTCCAAGTCCGCCAGCGCTCTTGCACCAACCCAAGCCCTCGGCATGGAGGCCGTGTGTGTGTGGGACAGAACCGGGAAGAAAGGTAAGCTGCTTTCTCCTCGTCATTGACTTAACCTTTAGGTGTCTCCTTGATTCTGTCAACCTCTTTCATTTCTCCTCCTTTGTGTCAATCAGCCTTTGCTCCTCCAATTTCTGCTATTTCTGCTTGTAGCATCCTTATAGTTACTGAGGGAATAAAAATTCAGTTGCAGTTTTCACTTAGTTGGGATCTCCCCAAATCAGCATTGCCACATAGTTCTGCCTCTCCCTGCAGTGCCTTTAGCCTGGCACATGACTGCCTTCGAAACCTGCAATTCAGGGGAAAGTGTATGATCTCTGCACTGGATTGTTAGCCAGCTGGTTTTTGATTTCTTCACTGAGTATTCTAAGGCTCTGTAAAGCTCTAGAGAATGCTTTCAAGGTTGTAGCTGCCTAACAATCTATGTTACATTAAAGCAGACTATACTTAAAAAGTATTTTAATTGCTATATAAAGCTCACCTCTTCCAGCTTGGCAGAGCTGGGGTTCCTCATGCTTCCACCACACAGGCTCCATCACACTTTAAAGCAGAGGTTTTAAAATTCCCTGCTGTCAGGATACTCTTTACAACTTGACCTGTCTGCTTCTGGACCCCAGCACATCTGAAACAAAAATCTGGGGCATTGCAAAATCTTCTGGAGAGTTTTCAGGGGAAGCAACCCAGAAGATGCCCAAGGCTTCCTTGCAGATGTGCTTTGCAAGGGAAGATCTGTAATAATGCAGGAAGAGCTGCCCTTTGGGGAGGCTGTCCACTCTGGCTGAGTTCTCAGAAGCTCCAGGGCTTTCCTGGGCGCAGTCTGAAACTTCCCACCGGTATAATGACCAAGGAGGGGAGCCAAGGGTCAGGCTGCGTGGAAAAGAGCAGGCTTTTATCTTTGATGGTATCTTCTAAGTTCTGTGGAATGAAAAGCAGAATGCAACTAGCCAGACCGCTGTGAAAGAAGCAGAAACTGCTCATGCAAGTAAATGGTGTGGCAAGGGAGCAGGTCACTGCCAGCCTTCTCCCAGCCCTGGGACACGTGGAGATAATTGCTGTAGTTAATTCCTTTTGCCTCATCATAACTATTACTAAGCTACATCACCAAATACCGCCAGTATTGCTGCCCCAACCCTGTAAGTGTGCTGGTGTTGCGTTTGTGAGGTGCTCAGTCACCATAAGAACGAGCATCTGTTCCCATTCTATGGAGGGAAATATGAAGTCTGTGTGAGCACAATGAATTCTTTTCCAGGAAACAAGCTTGAGTTTGGAGTCACTGGGGGGAAGGGACCAGCTTGTGTGCATGTTTTTAATCATCTGTCGCTCCTCCCCCTCTCCCTTCCACACCTTCAAATAGCAATTGCTATCTTTGGGGAGATTGACTGTGGCCTCAGTCGATGCATCAAGGGTCATGTCACTGGCCTGGCAATTTTTCCATGTCACCCTCTCACTTCTGCCCTCATCACTTCCAGACGCAGGGTCAGTGCAGAGGTCTCCAGTTTCACAGATCTAAAACCCTTGCATTGCTTGTTTTGCAGACTCGCTGCAAAACATAAGCCCTCTGGGTCCTGAGAAAAGAAGAAATTAACAGGCAGGGGAAGAGCAGCAGGGGAAAAGCACTTCCTGCTAGCTTGAAATGCTTCCAGAAAGAGGATTAATCAGACTTTGCTCAAAATCCTGCGTTCCAGCAGATTCACGCCCACAATGAGACTCGGAGGCTTCTGGGGCTTGTCTGCTTGGTGCAGCAATTTAACATGTGTGCTGTGGCTCATTCTGACTGGGAGGAAAATGTGAAGTTGGCTTCATGTCTCGTTTTGTTTTATTAAAAGCAAAACAGTTTTTACAAACTCTCTGGCTGCAGTCGAGAGTCCTGTGCATGTACTGGGCTTGAGTTGTCTGCTGTGCTTTTGTGTGTGTGTGTGTGAGTGTGTGTGTGTGTGTGTGTGTGTGTGAGAGAGAGAGAGAGAGAGAGAGAGAGAGAGAGAGAGAGAGAGAGAGAGATAACTGCCAGTAGGGACAATATCCTTGAACGTGTAGTGCTTGATATGGGGCAATTTTCGGTTGGGTATTGTCAGGGGACTGCCATCGGAACAGGGGAGGGAGGCAGGGGAATACAGAGAGCCTATGAGGCTTCTGAGGAGCAGCTCCTCTCCAGCAGTGGGGAAAGCCACACCTCCAGTGGAGCAGAGAGGGAAGGAGCCAGCCAAGCGAGGAGAGGGCTGGAAGATGCTGCTCAGAGAGCCCAAGCGCCTCACCTAGCCCGGCTGGCCAGGAGGCAGACACGCCACTTCCATCGCCCAGCCTGCGCCGGGGGGGGGGTGAAACGCAAGGAGGGGAGGAGGAGATTTGGGGTGACTAAGTTCTTATGTTGGGGAGAAGCCAGAAGAAGCCACTCCCAGATCGTGCAAGTGACTAAGACGGACATGAACTTGTTGGTTCTGCACTGTAAATAGTTTGCACCAATAGAATCATAGAATCATAGAATCATAGGATCATAGAATCATAGAGTTGGAAGAGACCACAAGGGCCATCGAGTCCAACCCCCTGCCAAGCAGGAAACACCATCAGAGCACTCCTGACATATGGCTGTCAAGCCTCTGCTTAAAGACCTCCAAAGAAGGAGACTCCACCACACTCCTTGGCAGCAAATTCCACTGTCGAACAGCTCTTACTGTCAGGAAGTTCTTCCTAATGTTTAGGTGGAATCTTCTTTCTTGTAGTTTGGATCCATTGCTCCGTGTCCGCTTCTCTGGAGCAGCAGAAAACAACTTTTCTCCCTCCTCTATGTGACATCCTTTTATATATTTGAACATGGCTATCATATCACCCCTTAGCCTCCTCTTCTCCAGGCTAAACATGCCCAGCTCCCTTAGCCGTTCCTCATAAGGCATCTTTTCCAGGCCTTTGACCATTTTGGTTGCCCTCCTCTGGACACGTTCCAGTTTGTCAGTGTCCTTCTTGAACTGTGGTGCCCAGAACTGGACACAGTACTCCAGGTGAGGTCTGACCAGAGCAGAATACAGTGGCACTATTACTTCCCTTGATCTAGATGCTATACTCCTATTGATGCAGCCCAGAATTGCATTGGCTTTTTTAGCTGCCGCGTCACACTGTTGGCTCATGTCAAGTTTGTGGTCAACCAAGACTCCTAGATCCTTTTCACATGTACTGCTCTCAAGCCAGGTGTCCCCCATCTTGTATTTGTGCCTCTCATTTTTTTTTGCCCAAGTGCAATACTTTACATTTCTCCCTGTTAAAATTCATCTTGTTTGTTTTGGCCCAGTTCTCTAATCTGTCAAGGTCGTTTTGAAGTGTGATCCTGTCCTCTGGGGTGTTAGCCACCCCTCCCAGTTTGGTGTCATCTGCAAATTTGATCAGGATGCCCTTGAGTCCATCATCCAAGTCGTTGATAAAGATGTTGAATAAGACCGGGCCCAAGACAGAACCCTGTGGCACCCCACTAGTCACTCTTCTCCAGGATGAATAGGAACCATTGATGAGCACCCTTTGGGTTCGGTCAGTCAGCCAGTTACAAATCCACTGAGTGGTAGCATAGTCAAGTCCGCATTTTACCAGCTTCTTTACAAGAATATCATGGGGCACCTTGTCAAATGCCTTGCTGAAATCAAGGTAGGCTACATCCACTGCGTTCCCTTCATCTACCAGGCTTGTAATTCTGTCAAAAAACGAGATCAGGTTAGTCTGACATGACTTATTTTTCAGAAATCCATGCTGACTATTGGTGATCACAGCATTCCTTTCTAGGTGCTCACAGACTGTTTGCTTAATGATCTGCTCCAGAATCTTCCCTGGTATTGATGTCAGACTGACTGGGCGGTAATTATTTGGGTCCTCTCTTTTCCCCTTTTTGAAAATAGGTACAACATTTGCCCTCCTCCAGTCTGCCGGGACTTCGCCTGTTCTCCAGGAATTCTCAAAGATTACTGCCAGTGGTTCTGAGATCACATCTGCCAGTTCTTTTAATACTCTTGGATGCAGTTCATCTGGCCCTGGAGACTTGAATACATCTAGACTAGCCAAGTATTCTTGTACTATCTCCTTAGTTATTCTGGGCTGTGTTTCCTCTGCTGAATCATTTGCTCCAAATTCTTCAGGTCGGGCATTGTTTTCTTTATCGGAGAAGACTGAGGCAAAGAAGGCATTGAGGAGTTCAGCCCTTTCTGTGTCCCCTGTTTGCATTTCACCATCTTCTCCTCTGAGTGACCCCACTGTTTCTTTGTTCTTCCTTTTGCTACGAACATACCCATAAAAGCCTTTTTTGTTGCTTTTAACCTCTCTAGCAAGCCTGAGTTCATTCTGTGCTTTAGCTTTTCTGACTTTGTGTCTACACGTGCTGGCTATTTGTTTGAATTCCTCTTTGGTGGTTTCCCCCCTTTTCCATTTTTTGTACACATCCTTTTTTAATCTTAACTCAGTTAAAAGTTCTTTAGATAGCCACCCTGGCTTCTTTAGGCACCTTCCATGTTTCCGTCTCATTGGTATTGCCTGAAGTTGTGCTTTTACTATCTCCCTCTTAACAAACTCCCAGCCATCATGAACTCCCTTTCCTTTTAGTATTACTGTCCATGGGATCTCACCCAGCACTTCCCTAAGTTTTATGAAGTCGGCTTTCTTAAAGTCAAGAAATTGAGTCCTAGTATGCTTGGCTGCTCCTTTCCGCTGTATAGTAAACTTCAGAAGAGCATGATCACTCGCGCCTAATGATCCTTCCACTTCTACCCCACTAACCAGGTCATCAACATTGGTTAGGACCAGATCTAAAATGGCTGTTCCTCTTGTTGCTTCTCCCACTTTCTGGACAATGAAGTTGTCTGCAAGTCCAGTGAGGAATCTGTTTGACCTTATGCTCTTGGCTGAGTTTGACATCCAACAAATATCCGGGTAATTGAAGTCCCCCATTACTACTATCTCCCTTCCTTTTGCATGCTTGGCCATCTGTTCCAGGAAGGCATCATCTATGTCCTCCGTTTGGCTTGGGGATCTATAGTAAACTCCCACAATGAGGT